AACTCCTATATATCTCAGCACATTTTCAGGACTTCATAAGTTTTTCGCAATAAATCTATCGAATTTGTCAAGATTTCTTCGGTACGATTCGGTCGTCAGCGCAAATTTATCCATGGCTTGCTTGATAAGCCTACTGCGTTGTTTGTTTTGATAACGAATCTACGTAAACAAAACCGAAAGATTCAACAAGTATGATAGAAATAAACTTCATCTGACGGTAATAGGCCAAGCTAATACACTGTTTGAGGCGTCGATGATGGAGGTGGCTGGTTGTTTGTTAGAATAGGCTAGGATGGGCAAATTTTTGGCCAACGTTGGAGTGTCGTAACTTCGTCAAATATTGTCAAATTTTTCCAGATTAGAAATACTCAGAGCGAGAGATGGGTGGAGAAAACAAAACACAATTCGGCAGCTGGGATTTCTACCTAAATTATCTTGCAACCCTTGCTGCTAGCATTTCACATGACTTTCATTTTTGATTCGATTTACGTGCAAAATATTTTATTTGCATCGCAATATTTTGCACATTTCTTTGAGCCATTAATTAATTATGGGAACATGCCATTCGTCCAGAATTTCTCCGCTCACGGTGGACTTCAATTTATTCAGAGTTGGTTGGAAATGCTAACATGAAGCTTTAGTGTGATGATTTATTAGCTAGAGAATGATCTTTAGAAGAGGGTAGGTGGATAGTTCCGTTAGAGTACGGCAGTATGAAAATTGAATAGAAGTTGAAAATGAGCGAAGGGCCATTAAAGCGACAGTTTTCAAGATAGACGCACATTTTTGCCTAGCCCGTACGATGTACGCGGGGACTTGAAGTATGTCTCCAAGTCCACAGGCAAAAATGTGCGTCCCTCTTGTTGCTCATAAACTGACTGCGGCTGTGGAATAGTTCTAGCGACGTTTTCATCACTACCTAAAGCCCCACGTTGCGAGAGCATTTCCAGTCGATGGTGTGTTAGAATGCAGTTCTTCTTTACCCAACTATTGTGTTGCTCAATTTATTGTTAGGTATGTCAATTTCCTATCCCTTACATTTTAACTCCATCGATCAACCCTTTGACAGCAAGCTGTCATCGAAGATTCCAGACCAAATGTCAAGAAGATTCTTTTTCTTTCCATGTTGTGTTTTTACAATGAGAAACTCGTGGGTGTGAATTATACTCGTTTCGTGAAGCTAAACTTATGTTTTATTCCAAAACCGATTCCGTTACCACTGTCCGAATTCCCATTAGGTTATGGGCCCAGTGGGTTCACGAGTGCCGGGATCGTGCTAGTGCTTAGAAATGGAAAGAGAAGGCGAAATCGCGCGTGTTCCACAATTTGACGGTACGAACTATCCATCATGGAAGTTCCGTATGCAAGTGGTGCTGGAAGAGCACGAACTTACTGAATGCATACAGTATGAGCTTCAGGAAGTGGAAGAATACGTCATTATGGAATGCGATAATAATGCCGTTCGAGAACAGAAAGAAAAGGCCGCGGAAAAACGGAAGAAGAAAGACCTCCGTTGCAAGTCTCTTCTGATTGCACGGATTCATGACAGCCAGTTGAAATACATCCAGGATAAGCCGACACCGAGAGCAATCTGGTTAGCGCTGCAACGAATTTTTGAGCGCAAGAGCATCGCGAGTCGCCTGTACCTGAAAAAGAAGCTGCTGTCGTTGCGGCACAATGGTGGTTCTCTTCAGGACCATTTTTTAGTTTTTGATCGTATTGTGCGGGACTACAAAGCAACGGGTGCAACGTTGGAGGACATTGACATCGTATGTCATTTATTACTGACACTTGGGTCAGATTTCACGACGGTAGTGACGGCACTAGAAACAATGCCGGAAGAAAACTTGAAGTTGGAGTTTGTACGGTGCCGTCTACTGGACGAAGAAATAAAGCGAAAAAGTGCGGGTGTTGATTCGGCAGTGCCGAAGAACGATGATGCAGCTTTCGCAGGGTCGAGTAGCAAGCAGCAATACCCGAAGAAAAAGTGGAAGTGTTTTGGCTGTCACAAAGAAGGCCACAAAATTTCCGTTCGAAGGACCAAGTGGCTGAAAAGTTCCGCGAGTACCAAGCAATTGCGAGTGCAAAGTTCGGTAAAGCCATCTCCCGATTCCGTTGCGATAATGGTGGGGAGTATAAAAGTCATGTGTTCACTGACTTTTGTAAGCAGAAAGGTATTGTAATTGAGTGGACAGTGCCATATACGCCAGAGCAGAATGGCACAAGTGAGCGTATGAATAGGACGCTGGTTGAAAAAGCACGTTCTATGCTCGAAGATAGTGGTGTTAGTAAACAGCTATGGGGTCAGGCAATCGAAACAGCAGCATTTTTAGTGAACCGTAGCCCAGCTAGTGCTATTGATCCTAAAAAGACTCCGTTCGAAATTTGGAATGGACAGAAGTCGAATGTGAATAGACTTCGAGTGTTTGGTGTATATGTGTACGTTCATATCCCAAAAGAACGTCGAAAGAAGCTTGACGCGAAATCGTGGCGTGGAACGTTCGTCGGGTATACCACCAATGGGTACAGGGTCTGGGACCCCAAGCGGAAGGAGATCGTTTCGGCTCGGGACGTGATATTCGTGGAAGAAGGTAATCTTGGCGTTCGCCAGGTGAACGGTGATTTGGGATGCGACCTCTTCAAGATCTCGTCAGACCACAACGAAAGCGTGCGAAGCAATCCAGATGACTCAAAGGAAACGTAATGCTCCGAGGTGGCTTGATGATTATGAACAAGATTACACAGGATTTGCCTTGATTGCGTCCAGTTTCGTAGAGTATTTGCCGAGTACGGTTGCTGAAATGAGAACGCTTGCAGATTGGCCGAAATGGAAGCAAGCTATCTACGAGCAAATGGATTCGCTTATCAAAAATGACACCTGGACATTTGTGCAGCTGCCAGAGGGGCGAAAGCCAATTAGTTGCAAGTGGGTGTTTAAGGTTAAGCGATCTGACGATGGCGGAGGTGACCGTTACAAGGCTCGTCTTGTTGCACGTGGATTTTCCCAGAGGCACGGATTCGATTACACAGAGACGTATTCTCCCATTGCCAAACTCGATACGATTCGCGTAGTTCTGGCGATATCGAACCAGGAGAGGATGCACGTTCACCAAATGGACGTGAAATCCGCGTTTTTAAACGGACATATATCCGAAGAGATTTATATGACGCCACCGGAAGGATATGAACGAAATAACGGCTTGGTGTGTCGACTAAATCGTGCCTTGTATGGCCTAAAACAGGCATCGAGAGCATGGAATTTGCGGTTCGACAAGTTCATGCAAGAATTAGGATTCTCAAGAAGTACGAATGATCCGTGTTTGTACGTAAAGGGATCTGATGGTTCACTGGTGTTTTTGATATTATACGTGGATGATATTCTTGTTGTTTCTCGTAACCTGGCCCTGGTGAAGAAGGTGAAATATCGCTTTTGTCGAAGAATTCGAAATGACGGATGTCGGTGAAGTAAGCAGTTTTCTCGGGATGAAAGTGGAGCGGAGCATCAATAAGCGCATTCTACGGATTAGTCAGCGAGGATTTCTAGAACGACTGCTTAACCGGTTCAACATGCAGGATTGCAAACCAATCTCGACGCCGATGGAGTGACGTCTACAACTGAAGCGAGGAGGACAAGGTGGCCAGACGAATAAACCCTACCGCGAATTAGTTGGATGTTTGATGTATGTTGCAATGACATCTCGACCGGATTTGTGCGCGGCTGTTAATTATTTCAGCCAGTTTCAGAGCTGCCCCACTGAACAGCACTGGGTACATCTAAAGAGAGTATTACGGTATGTAAAAGGTTCGCTTGGCCTTGAATTGGTGTATAAAGGAGACAGTGAAACATCGATTTTGGAGGCGTTTGCGGACGCAGACTGGGCGAATGATGTGACGGACAGAAAGTCATTGTCTGGGTACGTTTTCCGGATCTATGGCAGTACAGTTTGCTGGCTCACCAGAAAACAATCAACGATCTCATTATCTTCAACGGAGGCGGAGCTTGTATCGTTGAGTACGGCGGTATGTCATGGAACGTGGTTATTACGTTTGCTGGACGACCTTGGAATCAAAATCATCGATCCAGTTATCTACTTCGAAGACAACCAATCGACGATCCGTGTGGCAGAGGATGAACGTGGTGTGGGTCGACTGAAGCATGTCGATGTAAAACACATGTTTGTACGGGACCAGATTCAGCGGGGGTGTGTTGCATTGCAGTACGTGCCGACAACCGAACAGCTGGCTGACGTAATGACCAAGGGTCTGCCAGTAGGTGTTTTTCAGAAGCATCGTTTGATCTTAGGGTTGATGGGTTCTGAAAATTGAGCGAGGGTGTTAGGAATGTCAATTTCCTATCCCTTACATTTTAACTCCATCGATCAACCCTTTGACAGCAAGCTGTCATTGAAGATTCCAGACCAAATGTCAAGAAGATTCTTTTTCTTTCCATGTTGTGTTTTTACAATGAGAAACTCGTGTGTGTGAATTATACTCGTTTCGTGAAGCTAAACTTATGTTTTATTCCAAAACCGATTCCGTTACCACTGTCCGAATTCCCATTTTTTATAACACTACTTTATTACGCGAACTCATGGACAGTGATGTAGCCCACCTTCCTGCAGAGTTGATTCACTGGAGACGAATTCCATTTAAATCGTTGAATATAGACAGTCAGTCGCACAAGAATTACCAGAGACGATCGAAGGCCGAAAATTTCACTCGGACTGACGGTTGGAAGGGCTGCTGCAATGGCTTTACTCTCCAGATCCGCCATGTTGAACTTGTTCTCATCGATTTCTAGCACTTTGGGCCAGTACTGCTGATCTAACTTCAGCCAGCAAGGTCCGTGAAACCAGCGTGGTTCGTACTGCAGCTGCACTGGGGTCATGCCTCTTGAAATAATATCCGCAGGATTCTCCTCTCCTGCGACGTGATTCGAAATTCCTCCCTTCGTTATGTGTTGGATTTCGGAAACACGGTTTGCCACAAATTGCTTCCATCTAGATGGCTACGACGAAAGCCAGCAAATAGCGATGGTTTAGTCTACCCAAAAGAAGCATTTGGCAGTAACGTTGATGCTGTTTGTATATTTTCTCGTAGAGGTGCGCTAGGAGCAATGCGGACGATAGTTCCAGGCGAGGAGTCGATAATGATTTCTTATTTTTCTTCAAATTTTCGAGTGGAGCTGTAGCTGTAGTGCGAATGAATACGCATGCTCCGTACGCTTTGTTTGAGACGTCACAGAAGCCATGCAGCTCTACTGCTACGACGATACGGCTTATTCCAATCCATCGAGGTACTGCTATCCCGTCTAAGCTTGCTAAGTTCCGCCTGTACTCTCGCCAGTACTCCTGTAACTGCAGTTCGAGTGGATCATCCCATCCACAGTCTTGCTTCCAGAGATCCTGCAGAAAGATCTTCGCCTGAATTATTACTGGTCCTACCAGTCCCAAAGGGTCAAACAGTCGGGAGGCATCTGATAGGACACAACGCTTCGTTATCTCCGTAGACTCATTCCACATCGGCGAACTGAATCGAAAGGAATCTGTGCTTGGTTCCCAGGTTAAACCCAGCGTTTTCACAGACGAGCTCGAAGAATCCAATTCTAAAATCGAGCGTTCGTCCCTCAAATCCTCCGGCACCTCTGACGGCAATTCCTTGCTGTTAGAATTCCACTTTCGTAACGAAAATCCAGCTGATTGCAGTAACTCTATCATTTCCTTGATGAGCACCTTCCCTTCCTCAATGTCATCTACGCCTGACAACATATCAGCAGCAGCTGGGTGCGAATTCTTGCCTTCATCGGCCAAGCGTTGCAGACATTTCGTAGCCAAGTAAGGTGCTGATGCAGTGCCGTAGGTAACTGTATTGAGAACGAATGTCCGAATGGGTTCTGTGACGCTATCTCTCCAGACGATTTTATGCAGCAGACGGTCCAGTAAACTCTGCAGCACCATCCGATACATTTTGGCAACGTCTCCTACAAGAGCGAATCGATGTGTACGGAAACGGAGAGTGATATCCACTATCATGTCTTGAACTTCGGGTCCTACCATTAGTCCATCAAGAAGCGTCGAATACTACTCACAGCTTCGTCGTCGTGCTGTCAGCCTTGAAAACAGCGTGGTGAGGCAAGTAGTATGACGGGGCACTCGTATCTTCTTCGAAAATTTCCTGCATACCCATGGCTAAATATTCGTGCATGAAATCCACGTACTGCCTTTTCAGTTCTGGATTCATCGAAAAACGACGCTCCATTCCCATAAAACGCTTGATTGCAGTCGACTGTGGACTCACCGAGCTGCTGGATAATCGCCTCCTTCTTCGGTAACGTGACCACGTATCTCCCTTCTTCATTCCTGAACGTTGTCCTATCGAAGAATTCTTTGCATGCTGATTCCTCGACCGATAACGGACTGGTGGATTGACAAGTTTCAACTTCCCAGAACTTCGAAAGTTGATCTCGAATCTGTGCTGTTGAACAGATTAGAGTGTACGATGCGCCTATGTGCCTTCAGGAATACGACCGGAAACAATCCAACCGAATACGGTGTTCTGAAGCGTCGGGCGATCTTCAGTCGCCTTCTGCCTCTCCTCCTTCTGCAGCTACAAGAAATATTCCGCTCCCACGATTATGTCGATGGGTCCTGTCTCGAAGAACTTAGGATCGGCTAGATGCAGACGATCGCGAAGATTCCACGTCGTGATGCGGAAACTTGCGGTTGGAAGTGACACAGTTAGCTTCGGCAACACGTGGAACTGCATCTTTTCAGTGAATGATATATCTTGCGATCTTGGACCCACTACAGCACTGACTAACTTCATCGAAACGGCTTGATATTGTCCAATACCTTGGATTGACAGAAAGACTAGTGTCTCTTCTAGCTTGAGCTTGCTAGCGAAACTCTTTGTCATAAGGCAGTGCTGTGAACACGAATCGAGCAAAGCTCGTGCAAGCACAATATTGCCATAGCGATCGTTAATACTGACCATTGCGGTCGAAAGAACGATGTTTTGTGTAGGTGTGATGGGGAGAGCTACATGTGTTTGGCTTGTGTGTGAGTGTGTGAGTCTTGTGATTTTGCAGTGTTAGCGGTCCGTGTCTGATGGTTCGAGTTTGGTGGGCTGGATTGTGGCTGTCCAGACTGTTGGTTTGCTGTCGAAGGTCTTGACTGCGAGGGTGAAGCGGGGTATCTAGGTTGATCACTGTGCAACCAAGTGTGATGCTTCTGATTACAACGTTCCCTTCTCGCAGTTCCTGGCGATATGCCCAGGATACAAACAGTTCCGGCAAAGTTTGTTCTTAGTGACAGCCTCATTTCTCTCCGCCAACTTCATCCGCTGAAATTGGATGCACTGGAATACTGAGTGACGTGGTTCACTGCAAAAATGACATTTTCCAGCTGATTTCTTGGCTGTGTGGCAAACTGCGATTCGTGGTATCTGTGGACTCGAGCTGGCAGATTTGGCTGGAGCGATTGATTGCAGGACTGAGCAGTGACCCTTGAGAAACACCATCAAATCTGCATACTTGGCGACTTCTTTGCTGTTATGATGTGTTTCCCAATACCGGATTGTGGCCGAATCCAATCTGCAACACACCATGTAGGCCAGGATGGTACTCCAGTCGGCATGTTTTTCGCCGATCTTCTCTAGCACCTGCAGATTTTTCTCGAAGTCTCCAATCAACTGGTTGAGCCCTTCGTATGTTTCTCTTTTGAGGCTTTCCACCGCGAATAGAGCGTCGAGATGAGCTTTTACGATCAACTTCTTATTCTCGTAGCGACTCTCTAACGCCTTCCACGCTACAAAGTAATTGGCGGCAGAAAGCTCTATTGCGTTTAGCTACTGTAGCGCATCACCGGACAAAGAAGGCCTAAGATAGGTGAAGTTGTCGATTTCCGAGAGTAGAGTACTATCATAGAGGTAACTCTAAGACCACTGGGTCCCGAAGAAAATCATTATTATTTTTGGCTCACTCAGTACCAGAACAACGGTCCCAAGCAGTCCCAAGCTATTTCACTCACCCCTGCATGTTCTGCATGAATCCACACACCCCTGATGTTATCTGTCAAACTTTCATAGCGAATCAAAACAAACATAGTGTAGTAATAGAATTTCAACTAGAATAGGGTAAGTTAATCGTTTGCTTGGGACCAATAGGCTACTAAAGTGGTGAGCCAATTTAAAATCGTTAGTTTCGTATTGATTGTTGGTACTATTGTGTATGAGACTCCGAAAGCTGTCACGATACGGCACCCATTCGTGAACCCTTCCACTAAATGAAGGTATTTTAATTTCAGGCAGCTTTACTCTTGCGAATGGGGCTGCGGCTTGCACGCCCGATTGCTGGTTTCCAGAAACTAGCGTCTCACAGGTTCGAATCGATTGGAAATCCAGCAGATCTGCCTTCAAAACATAATAACGATCCTCGAAATCCTGCATGAGCTGATCGTTTTCCTGTTGCCTTCCACCATCACCATTCCATAATCCATTGCCTTCTGTCCTCTCGTTTTTCTGGTCGAACGCCGGAGTGCCCTTTTCCACAGCTGCAGTATCGCTTTCGTATTCGTTTCCCTCATCCATGCCGTCGCATGTTGAGTCATATGACGAGGTATCTGACTCACACTCCTCCTGAACCGACTCTTCATCATCGGATTCTTCTTCCTCTTCTGGAGTTTCCTGCGGAAAAATTCTAATGGGAATGTTCGATTGGCTCAGATTTTGACTGTTCATTTGGCTCAAAACATTCTCTCCACCCATCTCTCCCTCTGAGTATTTCTATTCCAGATGCGTTCGACAGAAAACTATTACAGTCAACTTTCGCTCGTTGGGCTAAACCCATAGCCCTCTTAGTGAAAGGCTTTCGTTAGTTGGGCTGAACTGTCAAGCTTAATTGTGTCCTCCTCCTCGCTGTTGCTGCTGCTGTTCGGTGGGGCCCTTCGACGGTTTGGCGATGGTTCGGCTGCTACAAAGCACGGACTGTGCTGAGCGGTTTGCTTCTTTGGCTGCTTAGCAGCTGCCCTTGACGCTTAGCGGGGGGGTGGCGGGTTTGAGCGGGGCTCGTCTGTTGGAAACCCCCGGCGACGTTGGCGACGAATCACCGGATTGCCTACCCGCCGCAGTGTTTCTGCCCAGGCGAACTCACCTCTGGTATCGCCTGCTTCGTCCTGCTTGACGATTAACTGCGGTGGCGAGACTGGCTCTATTGGCAGAGCCACCGCAGTCAGGACGGCGGGTGTTGGCCGGATCCTTGGTGATTAGTCAGAGAAGCGTATAGCTCCTGCTTCCCACAATGGTAATCCGACACTCTGTTCACTGCACTACCAGAACAGTGTTCTTTTTTCCACAGCCACGGGGCCGGCTTTCAGGAACGACCGAAAATCACTGCTTTTCTTGAGATCAGCAAAATCACAACAGAAAATCACGGCTGATTTTGACCTTAGCTGATTTTGAGGTAACAAAATAACCAAACGGCAAATCAATAGCTTGGTATTACAGTCATATTACATTTTGGAATCCAGGATGGTGGACCAAAATCCAATATGGCGGCCTCCGGATAGCGTATATACATTTAAACCCATGCAATATGGGTATATATGGAATGGGCTCGATGCATAAACGCTGTTTAGGGACCGCCATATTGGAGTTTGGACCGCCATCGTGATTTACAAATTGGCGGCGGATGTCAATTTTCCAATTCTACTCATCAAGCCCATTCCGCAGATATCCATATTGCATGGGTTTAGATGCATATTCCCTGCCGGGGGGCAATCATTTTGGATTTTGGTCCACCAGCTTGGATTCCAAAATAGCGGCGGATGTAAATTTTAGGCTTCCACTCATGGAGCCTATTCCGTAGATACCCATATTGCATGGATTTAGAGGCCGCCATATTGGATTTTGGTCCGCCATCTTGGATTTGTGGAAGCCATCTTGGTTTGAACTCCACCATTTTAATTTCATCTGGAATGTTGACTTGAATTTCGGAATGTCCCAGAATCTAGAATTTAACATATCTTCTACTCCTATGATTTTCGATGATTTTGATCTTGGTTGATATTGATGCTGGTTGATTTTGGGAATCGAAAATCACGGCTGATGATTTTCGTAGTGATGATGACTTGTGATATTGATGCCTGTGATTTTAGGTGATATTGATCTTAAAAGATAGCTGATTTTGATTTTCTGACCTGGATTTCAGCCAATAATGATCAGTATAATAAAGCTACCGACCTAAAACTAAATCGGAGTATATAAACTTCCAATACAGTAGTTCAGTAATAGTTCAAATTTTACGCTTAAAACCACATCCGATGGACACTATCCGCCGCGAGTCCACCACTAATCCGGAGAATAAGCTCCTTTTCATACCGATTTCCCGAACATCTCGTAGAATGTTTCTGAAGTTCATAGACATCCCTAAATATGCAATTTCTTTAAATTTTTCTGAATGTCGCAGAATTTACCTAAAATTCACAGTAGTTCCCTGAAGTTCATTTAACCTTCATGTTGTTCACAGAATTTTCCTGAAGTTCCTAGAAATTTTCTGGAGTTCGCAAATTTTTTCGCATATATGTCGACCGTTAGGAAAAAGGTATTCCATGAAACTTTCCGTTTTTTAGGTTCACAGACTTCGCTGATATTTTCAGAGATTTCCTTAAGGTCGTAAAATTTTCCTGGAATAAGCAGAATATACTGAAGTTACCAGTATTTTTTTCTTAGAGCAACCGTACCAGTCGTTGCCATTTGCGGCACTATTTTACTTACGCACAGCGTTTCCATTTTGGCTTAATCACTCCTCTCCACACCGCTCGTTGCTATCAGAGTCATACCATAGAGGTAACTCTAAGACCAGAAGGTCCCGAAGAAATGTGCTCAACTGTTTGGCTCAGTTCTGGTACTCTCTTCGGTCCCAAGCTAATCGATGCACCCCTCGAAACATTGGAAAATCCACGAACCCCTC